TGTAACAAGCTCGGTACATATGATGTGTATGCACTGGCTTGAGGGGGAGTGTTAGTTTACATATATGTATAGTGTAGTCTTGTCCCATATTGGAAGAGGAGTAATATCTCCTTGTAGTATATAGCTATAAATAGGGACTTCTTGTATTATATTTATCATCTAATATCAATAACATATTTTCTCCTGTGCCTTCTCACAGTCTCAAGGTCCCTACCTTTAGTAATATCGAACCTTGATTTCCGAGGAAGGTGACCAAACACTCACAGTTCTGTTTCTAGGATGATTCTCCAGGAAAGATTATCTCATTTAGTAATGGTTGTGAACCTGGTATGCATCTCTTAAATAACTTTTCCTTTCTTATCTTGAAAAGTTCATACTGCCTTATGTGCATGTCAATCAAGGACTGTTTGACCTGATTTGTTCCTTCATGACCAGTATACAAAGCATCCCAAATTTACTTAGGAGTGGTACATGCAGAGATTCAATTATACTCATTAGGTTTAATGTTCTAGATTATAATCTTTTTAGCCTTTGCATACTTCTGAACAGCCTCGACATCTTCGTCAGTATATTGCGCCCTAGTTTTAGAACCAGTTATTTGACCTTTGTCGTCCTTTGCCTTGGGAATCTTATGACCTCTCAAAATAATGTCCTGGAGCTCCAAATCTTCACCTTCTAGAAAGTCCATTCTTGATTTCTACCATCCATAGTACTTCCTGTTGAATAGTGGTGGTCTTGTGGTTGATTGTCTTTAAAAGCCTCATGGTGCTGCCATCTCGGATCCTTTCAAGGCATTAGCCTTACTTTGAAAGAACATGCTCTGACACCAATTATTATTTTAGCTTGCACCTATACACAAGAGGAGGGAGGGTAAATTGTGTCTTACCCAACTTTCGCATGTTAAAGAACCTAGTTCTTTAACTTATGTATTTCATACACAAATAAAAATCAAAGTGTGAAATTGAAGTACACAACATATTTTACGTGAAAAACCTCCTTACTCAAGGGAGTAAAAACCATGACATACCTCATAGGATTTGCCTCAAAACTTCAACAACTTCAAAGATCGATTTTAGGTTACAACTCAATAACTAAAGGAACTAACTCTATTACTTCAGCCCCTACAATCAACTCAATTGTAGTTACCCCTTTCGAGACTGTAAACTCTAGCCTAAAAAGCTAAACAACTCTTCAACAATTTCAAAACCTACGATTACACTTCTCAAAAGCAAAATAGGTAATCATTAAAGAACAATGACTCAACCCTAAACAACTAAAGAACTTAAGTAGCTTCGTCTTCTTGACCTGGTCGTTTAGTTGAGCAACTTAAATTCTTTAAAGGATATTATTGAATGATTGTAATTTACCAAGAGTAATTTTAGTATTTTCATGAAATAGCAGTAGCCTTCAGTAGTAGCAGCATCGTGATGCTTTATATAGGAGTGAGGTTGGCTGAAATCTACTTCAATTAATGCTCCAAAATCTAGATTATTTCGGTTAAGAAAAACAATTCCTCTAGGATTCGATATTCTCATTTGTTTCCAACTCCACACGCCTTTTTTTAATGCAAGTATTTCCACAATTGATGAATCCTTTTTGAACACGAATTTATCCTGTTATTATATTCCTTATAGCCCACAAATTGAATTTTCCAAGGAATCCGTCTTGCATTAGGAATCAACTTTTTAGCTTCTAATTATCGCTCCTCAGATAATTTGGTTCTTTCAAGTTTAGTCCTATTTCTTTTGATATTTGTTCGTCACATCTGCAATCCTGTATATTAGTATAAAAATATCCTCGAAAAAACCTGGTTCTTTATCAATTGTTTGTTAATCATCAAAATCATTTTAAGCTCAGCTCAACAGTTTGTGAGATGTCTAATGTAGAAGACGAACGCCAATGTGTTGCAAAAGATGAGATGTGCACATGAGCTCACTAGCTAAGGAGGCAAGTGCATGATATTCAGTTGCGGCACTAGACAGGGGGTGCAGTCTGTTGTTTCTTTGAAGACCAAGATATGCAATTAGAGCCCAAGAAAACACAAATACCAATTGTGGATCTTCGAGTGATAGGACAACTTGTGTAGTGTCTGAGAGTCCAATGAGTTTTAGAGAAGATGTCGAAGTTATCCAAAGGCTAAAATGTGTAGTTCCAACTAGATATCGAAGAATCCTCTTTACACCTTGCCAATGTATTGTTGAAGGTGATTGCATAAATTGACATTCTTGATTTACTGAATGAGTGAGATCTGGGTGCCAATATTAAATATTGTGATGCTCCCACAACGCTTCTGTATTCAAAAGGGTCCACTGGTGAGTCGGTTGCATCGTGAATGTCACCTTTTTGTGATAGTAGGGTGTTGATTTTTCTAGCACAAACCATCATAGTTCTTTAAAGGACATCCTTTGCATATTTTCTTTGACTTAACTAGAGGCCTTTAGTGAATGGAGTACCTCAATCCCTAAAACATAGTGCAGGATTCCCAAGTCCTTCAAGGCAAACTGTGAGGTCAATTGAGAGATTAATGAATCCAATATATTTTATTGTCACCTGTTACTACTATGTCATCAACATATAGTAGTAGGATTATTGTGTCAATGCTAGACAACATGACTTCTTTTGAAACCCAGATGAAGAAGAAACTCAGTAAATCGTCGAAACCAAGCATTTGGAGCTTATTTCAAACCATAGATGGCAAGTTGGAGCAAACATACATGATGCGAAGCAATATTATCTATGAATCCAGGAGGTTGCTTCATATGCACAGCTTCTTTAAGTCGCCCATGTAGAAATGCATTAAAACGTCAAGTTGTCAAAGTGGCTATCTCTTTGTTGTTGCTAAGGCTAGGATTGTGCGTATAGTTGTTGAACTAATAACTGAACTGAATTTAGCTCCAAAATCAAAGCCTTCCTTTTGATTATATCCTTTTGCAACTAGCCAGGATTTGAATCTACCTAATGTACTATATATCTGACTTCAATTTTGTTTTAAATACCCCTTTAAAGCCAATCATATTCATGTGCGATTCACGTGAACAAGCTTCCAAGTCTCATTTTGATGTAGAGCCTCCGTTTCATCCTTCATTGCATTGTGCTAGTGAGGTTTGAGATAGCCTCTTTGACACTTTTAGGCTCGTCTATTTGTAGAAGCAGCAACTAGCGACGACGGTGAATTCATGAATTCTGGAGGCTGGGCCATATTTTTAAACTTTATTATGGTGGTCATGTGATGAGCAGGAGGCTAGGGCTCATCTTATGTAGTTGGTGCAACAGAACAATCACCAGTATGGCATTTAGTGAAGTCAACGATTAGGTTAATACCTGGAGGTTCAGTTTGAGTAGAATTCTCAGTGGAGCACATAGTGATAGCATGTGGTGATCGCTCTATAGCTTCTGTGGGGCTTGATGTACATCTAAAATTGGTTTAGCTGCCTCTTCGTTATAATCAGCAACATGAAAAACCAAGAGTGGCTCTTCAATGTGAAATGGTGCATGAGAGACCTAGAGTGGTGTAGCTTCCTCGATTATATCGGTAAGTTCTCACTGTTAGAATATATTTCATGGGAGGTATCTGTAGTGGCCATTGATTCGATGAATTCATTGTATATTGACAGTGATGGACTTGAACCTGTACAATTTTGTGGCACACTATAAACATATGGCAAGCACTGATCATCAAACATTAGATGCCTTGAAATATAAACTTCTTTTGTTTGAGGATGATAACACCTATATCCTTTGTGCAATAAACAATAACCAATTAAAATACAAGGAAAGGTTTTTGGTTGAAAACTTTTTTTTGTTATATCTTTTTAGACGTGGAAAACATCTACAACTAAAAATATTTAGAGTACTATAATCTGGTTTTCTTCCATATAACTTCTGAAATGGTGTTTCAATTCTCAAAAGCAGCGTTGGAAGTTATAACAAATATAGCTATCATAATTGCTTCAACCCATAAGCACATAGGTATATTGGCATTCAGCCCAGTGTCTACTACATATTTGTGCTTTCTTTTTGTTACTCCAATCTGATTTTGATTGTTTTGCTTGAAGCTGAATCCTCTGCCTCTTCCTTCTCCTCTCCCTCTATAGAAATTTCGTCTTCCTCTTCCAAAGGAGCCTTGAGTTCTTTGAGCTTGGAAGGCCATTGCTTGATCTACATGATCCTTTTTACCATCTTTTCCACTCATGTCAAAACCCCTTAGCGCATTTGCAAACTAATATGGAGGTTTACCCCACATTATTATTCTTAGGTTTTTGTACTTGCTTCCAAGAACTTTAGCAAAGCTTACAACTTTGTTGTCCTCATTTAAAGGTTTGTGTATAGCTGTAAGTTCAATAAACATTCCCTTAAACTCCTTTATGTACTCATCTATCATTTTTGACTCATCTTGATACCTTGAAGTCGTTTCAAGTTGAATTCTTTGTCCTTGTTAGCTTGTAGGTAATTATCCTCAAGACTTTTCCATATATGCTTGGAAGTATTGCAACCAATGATAAGCAAGATTGACTCCTCCGTCATTTTCCAGTGATCCAACTCCTAATTAGCACATCTTGCTTTCCCATTCTTGAAACTTAAGGTTAGGATTTTCTTCCCCTTTTTCATTCACCTCAACAGTAGGTGGAGGGTATTGTCGATGATATCGCTAACCCTTAGAGTTCACATCAACTGAATAATTTGGATTCTCCACACAAGATAATTTGAGAGTTTTATCTTTAAAGGACAAATAGTAATAAGTTGATGAGGAGAAGAAGGCGAGAGAAAACATGTTTTGCAATCCCAGCACACTCATCTTCTAGCTGCCTTGGAACCTCCAAAATCTACTTTCAAGCATATTGAGAGGCACATGGCTAGATTTTTCTGGGGTCTTCGAAAGAAAAGTAGAAATTTCATTGGAGTTTCTGGTCTATCATGTGTTTCCCAACTGTCGAAGGGGCATTGGATTTAGAAGTTTGCTGGATTTTAGTGATGCATTAGCAAAGAAAAGATGGTGAATATATAGGACCAATAACACCTTATGGTCTAACTTCCTCAACACAAAATACTGCAGACTATCATGCCCTGTAGAAAATGTTTGGAGAACAGGTCAGACACACAGTTGGAAAAAACTTATCCAAGTTAAAGAGGAGGTTGAGGAAAACTTACTCTTGAAGATTAATTCTGGCACTTCAAGTCTTTGGTGGGATAACTGGACTGGTATGGGAGCTATTGCCCAAATTATTTCATATAATAGCACACCAAGAGGACTGTCGGCGAAGGATATTACTGTTGATGGTAAGTGGAAGCTGGATCATTTGCGAACCCCTTTTTGGAATATCTCCATTCCTGCGAACCATTTTCTGAAATCGCTTTGCCATGTAAGCCATATCAGCGCCCTCACCACTTGAGTCACTGTTGTCTGTCTTGAAGATCGGGTTCTTCTCCCTTTTGGGCTCTCTTCTCTCATGATCCTTCTTCTTCTTCATTTCATAAGTTTTCAGAATATTAATGAGTTCATCAATGGCCAGCTTTTGTAGATCCTTTGCCTCTGTGATAGTATTTACTTTGCTTTCCCGGGAACCATGTAATACACTAAGTATTTTCCTGACAAGTTTGTTCCTTGGAATGATTTCTCCCAGAGAATAGAGCTCATTGATGATGGAAGTGAAGCGAGTGTGCATGTCCTGAATGGACTCATCATCCTTCATCCTGAAGAGTTTATACTCAGTGGCTAACATATCAATCTTTGACTGCTTGACTTGAGTTGTCCTTTCATGTGCTGTTTAGAGAGCTTCCTAGATCTCCTTGGCAGATTGACATGCAAAAATCCTGTTGTATTCGTCTGGTCCAATACCACAGATGAGGATCTTTTTTGCTCGAAAGTTCTTTTCGATCGCCTTGTGATCAGCATCGTTGTACTCCTTCCTTGTCTTGGGAACTATCACTGCTGGTTCACCAATGGTCTTCATAGGAACGAAAGGACCATCACAGATAACATCTTAGAGCTCTGAATCTTCAGCCATGATAAAATCATGCATCCTTGTCTTCCACCATCCGTAGTATTGGCCATTGAATCTTGGTGGTCTGTAGGTAGGCTGGCCTTCTTCAAAGTTTGGTGGAGCATCCATGAAGATCCTTTCTAGGTGTTAGCTTGATAGAAAGAATCCGCTCTGATAACAATTGATAGAACCTTAGGGTCCACCAAACTGTATGGAAAATCGGGTTCTCTATCAGTTTTCACAGAACACACACAAAGAGATAAGTAAATGACACAACAGAGTTTTACGTGGAAAACTCCCAGCTCACGGGATTAAAAACCACGACCTACAATCGTAGGATTTCAACTTCACTAACCGAGCAAGTTCAAATTACAACCTATTGTAACTTAGGAATTAACACCTTAATGCCTCACTCACTTGTAATAACTCTATTACAAGCCTCTTTGTAATAACTCTATTACAAAGCTCACAACTCGACTCACTCTAGTCAAGACACAAACACAAGGTTTATTATTTTACAAAAGGTTTTCTACACAATGCTTATAGCTAAGTTAAATAGGAATTACAAGTAAATCACTTTAACAAAGGTACAACATAACTAAGGACATGTAATAACTCAATGCAGGAAACTGGTCCTTCGTTATGATGTTCTTTGTTCTTGATGCCCTGAGTGTCACTTGCAAGTTGGCAACACACTTGAGAGAAAGCTTGAGGAATTCTGGAATGTGCAAGTATGTTGTTTTCCCTTTGCTTCATGTTAATATTACACAAGTGACATCACTTGAATGATGCAAGCATATTTGGTACAAGGGCATTCCCCATAAAGTGACTGCTGCACTGTTTGCACTATTGCGTGTGTGCAGAGGAACAATTGCAGCGACTTTACAACTGTGGGGTGTTGACTAGTACACTCAGCAGGGGAACTGATATCCATCTGTTCCCTCTGTTATTTCTTTGACTCTGAGTGTTGGAACATGTCCAGACTTGAGACTTGTTGATCTTGAGCACGTTGAGGATACGGAACAGGTTCCCTATCTGGTTTCTTACCATTAAGTTTGTAAGATCGTCAAAACATAACTGGACACATAACCTATCAATTTCACCCTTTTTGATGATGACAAACTTGTAATTGAAATTCCCCTTGAGAACCAAAGAACCATAAATATTTCCTGTATTCCCTCTGAACTTGTTCCCCCTCAATTAATTTTCCCCCTTTTGGCATCATAAAAAGATTAGTAAATAGTAATAAGCAAAAAGAAGTCTAGCAAGCTTAATTCATGCACACAAACATGACTATGAACAGAGCATAAGAGCAAGGCATGCATAGCAAAAGGATGAGATATTCATTAATTTGGAAATAAACAGGGAGCAGAATTAGCAGTACCATTTGTTACATAACCATCCACAAAATAAAACAATAGAAAAAGTACCAGCCACTAAACACATCAAAACAAAAAGGACCAAAACAGAGGACATGCAACTTGAACTGGACACTAGGAAGGGAATGACTTTTAAGGAGCACTGGAAGGGGGAGGCAGAGATGTGGAGGCAAGGGTTCTAAGTAGAATATCCATTCGAGCATTTGCTGACACTTGCTCATTAAGCAACCTCTCCTTCAGGTCCTCGATCTGTTTCCTGAGTTCAGCATTTTCCTTGGTCAGGCGGGCAACCTCTGCGCCTTGTGAACTGCTGGAACCAGGTGCCTCATGGGCCTTACTAAGCTGTCTCTCAAGAATGACATTCCGAGCCTTCAAATTCCTTATCTCTTCATTAGCAATGTTCTAAGCTTCAATCAGTTGAGAGATAGTAGAATTGCTGCCAATCCCTCCTTTCTTATCGATGCACTCACACTCTTCTAGGGTGGTCTTGGAGAAGGTCTGTTCGCGAGTACCCACTGTAGCCTTTCCCAAAGAGACGTTGAAGAACTCAAATACCTTAGTAAGAACCCGTAGGGCAACCCATGATTACCATCCTTAAAATCAGCCACTTTCTTCATGTTTTCAATCATGATACCCGACAAATGGATAGTGGAGTAGGCATCCAGCACTTCCATGAGGAACATATCTGCTTGTGACGTAATGGAACGCCTTTTTGCACGTGGGAGCAGAACCTTGTTCACCATCTCGAACAATAATTGGTACACGGGAAGGAGGGCTTTCTTGTATACCCGCTCCCCCTGTTGTACTGCATCATCCTTCAAAATGGCATTTCTGAAGTTTGAAGAACAAGTCCCCTCAATGGATGATATGCTGCCAGTAGGCACTCCCAGAATTGTTCCAAGCACAACCTCATCCATCATAAAATCAACACCATTCACCTTCAGGCATATGTTGTCATCTTCTACGGTGAACATATCAGCATAGAAATTGCGCACCTCCGCCTCATACACCTTAGGGCTTTCAGTAGTGAACAAATGTGTCCACTACTGAAATTCACAGATATCAACCAGTTGACGCATCACTGTCATGTCAAGAATATCAGGAGCAAATGTTCTGCCCCACAGCACCTTCTGGTTTCTAATATTTTCTCTTCCTTCATCCTTGGCCACACCCACCTTGACCTTCTTGGAGGAACCGGGTTCCTCATTGCCACCAACCTTCCGTTTCACAAATTTTCTCACACTTTTCCCTTTCTCTGCAGATTTCTCAGATACCCTCTCAGACACCTTTTCTCCAGACTTTTCAGACATTTTCTCATCAGACTCCTCAGCCACTTTCTCACCAGACTTTTCCACTTAAACATTGCTAACCTCCATCACTTTCACAAATGACTCTTTCCTATATTTTGGAACTGTAGGTTTCTTAGAGGACTTACGAATTAAGGAACTAGATTCCTCATTCACCTCGTCATCAACATCAACAACAATTGATGGAGGCACTACCTCTTGATTCACTAACTTTCCACCTTTCTTTAGCAGCCTAGTAGTAGGTCTTTTAGGAGTGGGCTTTTTGGGAGTTTCCCTACTACTCATAGCAACAATAAAACTAGCAACATAGATATTTCATAATCTTCCTCACTATCCTTATTCTCTTCCTCAGAAATAGATCTTATCTCAGGAACAACAATGGTTGATGGCTCAGCAACGAAATGAGGAGAGGGAGCGGGATCAGTACTGACCTGGGGTTCTTTTGAATAACTGGGGGTTTCATTCCAAGTCGGAGCAGAGGGCTCCTCTTGGGCTGAGGGATCAGGTGCCAGATTTTCAACAGGCACCAGTTCCCTACCCTCTACCTGTAGACTATCACCTTCAGCCTGAGACCCAATAGTTTCAGAAACACCTTCATAACCACCAACTAAACTCCCCTCAGTAGCGATTAACAACATATTCTCTATGGCCTCTTGTTCATTCAACCCCAAAGTAGATTCAGAAGATACATGAAGAATATTACCTGTAGGGTTGGCAACATTCAAGTCAAGGTTTGGGATATTCTTCACCACTACAAACCACACTCTGTTGTGCCTCACAGCTTTCTTCTACTTGCAAACTGAAGACTTCCTGATTTTCTTCTCCTTCTACTGAGTCTCCCTCAGCCACTTTTTTCGGCGAGGCAGAAGGAGGTTACAACCACAAACCTCTTTGGGTTCGGAGTTTTGCGAATCCGATGAAAACTAGGACTCGATTGGACTGGAGAAAAAGCAGAGGATGATTGAGAATCTTGTGTGGGGTTTGGACTTGGTGGCGTGTAGGAATACTTCAGGATCTACAACTTTGGTTTAAAATTTCATAAGCAAGAGCAGCTGAGGCTCACGGAAGTTCTATTGTTTTTCTGTATGTTCTATATTCACGTCCCTACCTTGGGTTATATAATACAACCCAAGGAGCGTATACAAGTACACCACACAGACTAACTCCTACAATCTGATCCTATACATGAAGTAACGTGCAGGCCAGGAAATTCACACCGAACCAAATTAGGTCTCTGCTATAAGTTATAATCCACAATTCCTTATCCCATTCAGCTTCACTTTCAAAACAGCTTAGAGATCTCTAGTATAAACTAGAGAGCTGACTGTATAAACTACTATTTCCTCTGTCCCGATTTATGTGTCATTTTTCGCTTCTTAAGATTTAACTGTGTGAATCTTGACCAACATTTTATAATGTATTTTTTCATCCTCTTGACATGAGAAAAATTTCAACTTATAGAACTTTCGTCTAGTTTTAAATATATCTAAATTTTAATTTTAAAATATTGAGTTGATCTAGTTCAATTTAGCTTCAAAAATTAGTCAAATTAACTAAGCAAAAGTGACAAATAAATTGGGACGGAGGGAGTATTATTTGGTGGCTGACATAGTATTTACTCTGTAAAGTATTTTCTTGTTTTCTACCGATAAAAAAAAAGTATTTTCTTGTTTTCCTGTTACTGCTATTGAACAAAAATGTTGTGGAACGCTTCTCTGTATTGGTTAAAGTTAAATGTTCTTAAAAAAAAATTTAATTTGGCTTCACCATCTGTATCGTGGGATATGCTGATTTATTTGTCAAATTGCTGGAATGCAGCTGAGGCTATTCTTCTCGGTTTTCAACATTATCTTGTTATGCTTGGTACAACAGTTATCATCCCTACAACTCTGGTTCCACAAATGGGAGGTGGAAATGTGAGGCTTCCAGACACATTGAACTACTTAATTAACGACTTAAAGTATGAATTTCACTTGAACTGATCAAGTAGTGTTATAGGTTTTTAATGAAAGAATACCTGCCCGTTAATTTGCAGGAGGAGAAAGCCAAAGTTATTCAGACATTGCTATTCGTTGCTGGTCTGAACACCTTGTTGCAGTCTCTCTTTGGGACCAGACTGCCTGCTGTGATGGGAGGGTCTTACACCTTCGTTGCACCTACAATCTCGATTATCATTTCTGGACGATGGAGTGATGAAGACCCTGTTTCGGTTGGTGTCTTCTTCAAACACTCAGTCATTTCTCTTCTATTGTTTTGATCATCTATTCATCAACTAATTATTTGTTGAATGTCGGAGACAAAAGCAGAGATATTGGTCTAGTTATATAGCTTTTCTATGGAGTTAGTTGGGGAATGCATGGAATGAGCCAGTTCAACAGTTATTGTCATTTAGGTAGGATGCTGGGAGAACCAACTAGAGTTAGTTTAGTTTAAAAGAGTTTTAAGTTATATATACCGCCATCCAAAGAATATCTACATATAAGCATCTTGAAACTAAAGCAGGTTACTTGTCACAACATGTAAAACTACCTAAAAATTTCCTATATTGACTTGTATATAACTTAAACTCGGTTTAAAATTAGAGTTTAAGTTCTATGCATTGACGGTGTAAAAGATATTTACATCATTAAGTTATCAAAAGGTAATTATAAGTAATTCTATTTAATAGCATTGATTTTATAACATAAAATAAGCGGCAAGTAATCTGTTATGACAGGATTAATTACATCATCCAATAGTAAAAAAATTCATTACGGTCGGTGATCATAACTTAGTGGCTATTCAGACATCGGGGCTCGACCCCTCCAAACATTTGAAAGAAAATAATAATTTATAAATTTTGGAAGATTCCTCCAAATATACCACTGTTTTCGAAAACCAAATCCAAACACTAACTATAATTTTCCACAATAAAATTTTGAGAACCACATTTAAATACTACACATAATAATTTACTTTCCGCTTAATAAATGATTCATGTCAGTGCCTATTTCTTTAACTCTCTACTAGTCGGAAGAAGTTTTGAGACAGAGGGAGTCATCCATTGCATCTTGGTGATATTGGGTCTTAATGTTTTTGTTTATGTTTCCTATATGATTCATCAGAAATTCAAGAAGATAATGCGGGCGACTCAAGGTGCACATATTGCGGCTTCAACACTTCAGATAGTCCTAGGCTTCAGTGGTCTCTGGGGCAAGGTTACACGGTTTGTTATAACACAAGATCTCTCCCTACATCTGAGCTGGCCTTCTCATCTAGCATCTGGTTTTGTACAATCAAGCACATACTTTTCTGCTCTTGGATATTGTTATGCTATACTAAAGATAGATTAATTGTTCTAATAAGGATCACTTTTCGGTGGTTTGATGTCTGCTGATCAGTTATGTTGAGTGCTTCGTGCACGTACACTAGCTCTAATAGGCATTTTACTTTCCGTGGATTCTTAGGTTTTTGAGCCCACTTTCAGTTGTTCCTTTGGTTTCTCTTGTTGGCTTTGGGCTTTATGAGTTTGGTTTTAGTGGGGTAAGTATCACAACTCGCTACATTTATAAGTGTTGATGTTATCTTGCATTACGATGATACTGTAGGATGATTGTTAAATCTACTTTGTCTTTGTTTAGGTTGCCAAATGTGTTGAAGTTGGGTTGCCAGAGCTAGTCCTTTTGGTCATTTTCTCTCAGGTGGGATGCTTTGTCTAGAAATCAGATATTTCACTTGAACATTATTTTACATGGAAGACATTGTAGGTATAAATTAAAGGTACACATTCTTGATAATTCTGGTTATTGCAGTATTTTGCCTATTTGATATGCCCAAGGAAGAAGTTATTTGATAGTTTTACTGTTACTATCACGGTGGCCATTGTATGGATTTATGCACACCTACTCACCGTGCGTGGGGCTTACAATGGAAAGCCACCAAAGACACAAGCAAGCTGCAGAACTGATCGTGCTAGACTCATTGATGGTGCTCCATGGCAAGTGCTCTTCCTGTCCTTTTCCTTTTAATTTCCCTAATGTATTGATTCTCATGTTGTAGACTGCATAGATTGTTTGTTGGTCAATTTTAAACTATTTTCATTGCTACTACTCCTATGTAGGAGCAGAACAAAATTTACTTTATATTTTGAACCAAGTCTTTTTTAACTCATGGTCTTATGATTGTATCAAGGGATGCACATTGTTTGAAAAACATTCCATACTACTTATTACTTGCTTAAATTTGTAACTTTAACGATTTCCTCTTATTCCACGCTGGCATTAATTTGCAGGATTAGTATTCCTTACCCCTTCCAATGGGGACTTCCTTCATTTGATGTCGGTGAAGCATTTGCTATGATGATGGCCACTTTTGTTGCTCTTGTAGAGGTTTGTTTACCCGTCAGTGCTTGGACAAATATATAACTAAATTTTTTTGAATTGATCTAATACGAAAATTTGTATGGCCAGAAATCATTTTATAAAGGGGAAGTTACAGTTAAATTGTTACCAAATATAGAACCAAATGACTAAAAAAGAAAGATTATCATATAAATTAGGACAAGGGAATATCTTATTTTGGCAGGTTTTGTAGACATTTATGGTTTAGTTGGAAAATAAGTTATTCCTGTATTAATTATTCGGGGATTAATTATTCCGGAATTGTTATCGGGATAACAATAACAGTACAATTCTAAAATTAATTATACCGCAATTTTATCCCAACCAAATGTGCGATAAATTTATTTCAAATTTAATACTGAGATTATTTATTCCTTGTCACTAGTACCAAACGAGCTTAGGGTTTAAGTAGCTCCTTGTGTTAATTTCTTTTGCTTATTCGAGTATGATCTTGATTGCCTTACATTGGGCTACTTGGAATTATGACACTTCTGGCGGTTGGTACAGATATCTCAATCTTCATCCTTTTCCATTCTGAGGTGATTCGTTTCAAATTCAAGAGTAATTTCATAATGGATAAAATATATTGTTGACTTTTATATGATATGTTTGAAGGATCTAGAGAAAAAGGCTATTCTTGACCCCGTTTTTCTTTTAGATCCTATTTAGAATCCCTTTTTCTTCTGCACACACAAATCCAAATACAGATCTTGACACATCTTGTTTTTTTATTTTCTTAATTTCTTTTTCCTCCATATTTCTTTCCAAAATCATGTCTGTCATCTTCAGAAAAATCTTCATCAGTTAACGAGAACCTCTGTTGCATCGATCTCCTCTTCCATGCTAAAATGACTTTCTTGCTCAAACTAGAAACAAAAGAAGGGGCTGATGCATTTAAGGTTGATGTAGATGTTTCATGAATGAATTGAGAATCCTTGGTTGGGAGGGCTAAGCAATTGATAGAAAGTAATTAATGTATGAAAGCTAAAGGTGGAAGTTCGAACGATAGCTGCAATTGATTAGTTTGTCACCTCCATTGTTGTCCTTGTCTCCAAAGTGGACTTCGTATTCCAAATCAACCTCATAAAATAGCAATTTTTCTACCATAGTGATCTCGTTCGTTGGTCGAGGAACTCTTTTTCGGTGGGACAGTGTGCTCATCCGATATAAAAGTTTTGTCGGTCGGGTACAATTTCATTATTTCCTTTTGTTCTCAACATAGCATCATTAGTATTCTCATTACGATCACCCTAACCCCTAAGCTTCTTCATAAGCCGTAACCTCAGGCAAGTTACATTGTTGTGCACCCACATGATCTTGAGTTGCATTGTTCACTGTAGATTCTGTTTAATTGCTAAAGCCGTCTAGGAGATGCATTACTCTTATGAACGTACATTTGTTTTTGCCTCTTTTTCGTTTTGGGATTGCTCCAAGGTTGCTCCTTGTCCTTTAGATATTCACCCTGTTGTTTTTTCCCCCTATGTTATTATTCTCAGCCACGTGCTTCAACTCTTTTATATCTTTGTTCTGTCCATTATCATTTTTGCCAACCTTAGTTTGTTCATCATCCTCAACATTCCATTCTTTTTTTTTGCATTGCTCTTCCAAATGCCCTTGATGTGAGCACTTAAGACAATAAGAAGGAATGTTCTCATATTCTATTTTCTGCCAAAAGTCGTCATTAATCTCACTCCCCGACCTCTTAAAATTGACCCAAACTTCATTTTGTTTTAATAACAGTAGCCAAGTATAGAGCAATTACTTTTCCAACTGGGGACAGGATGCTAACCAGACCTTCCTTTCTCCTTAAGTGCAATGGGAGGCTGAGTAAAACAACCCTCACTAGTGCAATTGTTGTTTCTTCTTCATGATTCTAACCAGAACTTCCCAACTAGTGTATACTTACAATCTTCAGCTAAAAGATCAAGGTACTCTTCTGATTACTGCTCGGCAGTTGCCGTCGCATTACTGCTCGTCTGAGCATTCGGATCGGTGAAGAGGTTCACATTAGGCGGCTAAGGCAAGGGATGTATTCTACTCGCCGGTAAAGATCTGGCTGGTGGTTCCATGGAGAAGACGCGTGAGGCACACACTCATATTTTGATCCTCTTCTTATAGGAGAGTGACGGCAATTCTTGTGTGATCCTCTTCTCTGTTTACCATTTTTCTGAAGAAACAGATACTTTTTTTTTTCCTGAAGAAACAGATGTTTTTATTTTTAAAGATATAGGCCTTGAACTAACTTCTTTTCACGCTTGTACTCTTTGGTGTTCAGTCCACTGGTTCTTTTATTGCAATTGCAAGACACACATCTGGCACTCCTGTGCCCCCATCAATACTAAGCCGTGGTGCTGGTTGGCAGGTAAACAGTTTTTCTTCCCTTGAATCTTTCCTCTCTCCCTCTTGTAAAGTAAGCAAAGAAGAGTAAAAGAGAAAGTCCGGTTGGATTGAATTTTTTTTTAAAAGAATGGGTCATTTCTCGATTTGTGCTGTGTTATTCTTGCGCAGGGGCCATGCTCAAAAGTTCTGTTGGATTGATTTAAGTGGAGCTTTACTCGGAATCAGATGCGTAGAACTTTTAGGGAGGTCTATGTGAAGTAGGCAAGTAGATTGGGAGAACTACACAAAATTGGAACATTGTCGATCTGTTCCAGTCTCAGCATTTTCCACATGCACAATTTACCATAAGAATAATGACTTGTTTTACGAAATCCCAACACCCAACTCTAACTAGAATGGCTTTCTTCCCATAACACAAGTCAAAATATGTGTCCACTCAACTGCAAGTTTGCAACCCGACATATCTAATCTGGTTCACGTACTTGGAACCATTAATTTTAATATAATGCCAATTTGAGTAACTTTTGTTATAAAGTTATTTTGCATAGATCCATTTAGGCTGTGACAGTACATGGCAGATATGATACTTCTTGAGATACCAGATATCATAATTTATGTGCTTAAGGGATTGGAAGTCAAATAGTTTTTTCTCTCTTGCTTCCCCTGAAATATTCTCTTCTTCTCTGCTCTCTTTCTTTCATTTTCTGCCGTGAAGGATTGTAATTCATGAGTACAAGGTATTTATACACTTACATAAGAGACTATCAAAGGAAACTAATCAAAACTAATAAAGGAAAATATCCTAAGCATCTGCTCTTATAATTGTCACCTATATATGGAAAGTAATGTATTAACTACTAATTATTCTGTAACACTCCCCTCAAGTTGGAGCATTGATGTTGATCATGCCTAGCCTTTTACAAAGATAATCAACTCGAGTTTCATTCAATGCTTTTGTGGACAAATCATCTAGTTGTTCGCGAGTCTTCGCATGACTAGTGCAAAATTGAGTTTTAGAAATCTTTCCACAAATAAAGTGGCAGTCAACCTCTGTATGCTTAGTTATTTCGTGATATATAGGATTTGAGGCGATATGAAGAACAACTAATTATCACACCAGAGTTTTGCTAGTGCAAAGAGCTTCAACCCAATTTCTACCACAAGATGATGTACCCATATGATCTCATATGTCGACCTTGTCATAGCTCCATACTCAAATTCTGCACCGGACCGTGATACAATACTTTGTTTCTTACTTTACCGAATTTCCACCAGCAAAGACACAATAGCCAGTAGTAGATCTCCAATCACTTTTAGATCCACCCCAGTTAGTTTCTGCAAAGAACTCAATGTGACTATGTCTGTGGTTGCCTTATAATATGCGAGTCCACGAGCTCCTTTTAAGTAGCATAGAATATGTTTCAAAGCTACTCAGCTAATCAGGTTCCTAGGAGTACAAGAAATTTGGTAAAATGCTCTCAGGCACTTTTCCCGAAACATTTCTCTTTCATGAATCCTAGGATTGTATCACCACCCTCCAAGAGACAAGCCTATCGCGACCAAAACCCAGTTAAAATCTCCGGCGTACGACTACTCATGCGCCCTCACGCGCGGCCCAGTTCCGACGACTTCTCAGCCACGCGCTGGCGCGTGAGGCTTATCCCGACCAGATCTCACTTTTTCTTCTTCAGACACCCTCATCGCGAGGCTGTTCTGAGCCTACCCATCCAAGAATTTCCAAAATCCGACGACTTTCACTATTTTCTGGCAACGGGCGATGCTTTTTCCGACCAGACCTCACTAGTTCTTCTTCAGTCAGCCTCTTCGCGAGGCTTTTCCGAGCCTACCCATCCCAGTTCCTCCTAAATCAGAAGATGTTTTCTATTTTCCGGCGAAAATCTTCAGATTCCGGTGGCATTCTTTGATTTTTCCGGCATCGTGCAGCGCCGGAGCTATAGATAGTATTTTGGGATAACCGAATTTAGATATGATGGATTTTAGAGAGAGAAGCTCCTACTTCTCTCTAGAATCTAGAAAGCTGGAAAACATGTTTTTCATCAAAGCTGCCACTTGGCCAGCCCTAGAACTTGGGGAAAGATGCCATCGAAAGCTCGACGTAGGGTAGGAGCCGCACTTCTCGCTGTCTGAGGAGCACACTCTCAGGCGCAAGGGTTTCTTGGAATCTTGTCTAATTGGGTCTTTTCCAAATGGGTTGGTTCTCCTGAGGCTGATAGGAACTAGGCAGCAGAGGTATGGAACGTCAATAACGGGTTGAAAATATCGCAACTGGGGGACACGCAATATCTCTTTCGATTTGTCGACGAGTCTCAAGCTTCAGAAATTCTTATCAGAGGAAACGGGTGGTTCGATGGGAACTTAAAGCTAGATAGATGGGTGGAGCACGACGGGTGTCTCGACCCATATTTCCCCGGCGAAACATTGGTGGTCAACATGGTGGGTCTCCCGGTGCATCTTTGGTGTCTTGACCTATTCAAGAAGATTGGAAAAATCTGTGGGGATTTTATTGATGTCACTTGCAGCCTACACGATCTCTCGCGAGTGAGGATTGTGGTGAGGAAAGGGGGCAGAATCCCTGTCTCCACTGTGGTGGAAGATGACTATTTGAGGTATAGAGTTTAGTTGAGCCCTGAATGTCGCCCTATCTTTATGCCTGTGGTAGTGGCGGAAGAAAAAGGAAGGACAAATAGAACGTAGGGGAGGGGAACTCAGTCTCTGAAAGGAGGGGAGGACTCACCGGATCAGTGGACCAAGCCGGAATTAAACGTTAGATCGAGAAGAGACGGGAGGTTTGAATTTGGGAGAAGAAGACAAAATTTTATCAGGAGAAAAAGACGTGAATGCCCCTGGGTTAGTGATGCGGGCTGGAAAGGCATAATGGACTGGTTCTCTTTTAGTTGTCATAGGACGGGCCAAGTTTTCAGCAAGTATAGGCCTGGGCCTCTACACATGGACCCAATAACTTTTCCCAATTATATTAGAATTGATCCTAAGGGCCCCAGATTATTTCAAGTTGCGTCTGATAAGGCTCCTAAGCATATGGGAATAGTCGCTCCTTCTTCTACCAATGGTGCTTCATACAGTGGTATTTCTTCACCAAACTCTAGTGACCTGCGCCCCTCTTTGATGGCCGCTGTTCCTCGGCTTCCCGCCTCTGATGGACCCAGCTCCATCACCCTATCATCTTCTCCTGTGCTTAGCTGTGCTGAGGTTACACTTCAAGCACCTTCTTCTTCCGGGGAGATTATTGCGCCTGCCCCAATTAATGTTAATGCCGGAACAGTAATTCCAGTTAATATGCCGCCAAGGGTTCCATGCTTTCTTCCTCCCCGTTACCCTGCTGGCGTCTCTGACCATTCCTATAGCAGCAGGGTGTTAATGTCAAAGGTTGGTGCCTCTCAAGGAAATGGCGAAATCCTTCCAGCACCTAAAGTCCCTATTGCTAGCAATGTTATGGTCTTGTATTCCTCCGGTAGGAGCAAGGAAAGGGTACATATAGAAGACGCCTGTCCAATTTCGTTACGGATTGGAGGAGGGGATGTCCTTCTGGACGAAGGATAAACTATTAAACTTTGGGAAGTTTTTAGGTGTTTCTTTTGAATGGAAGGAAGATAGGGTGTTAGAACTGTTGAGGGAGATTGAGCAACAATCTTTTTATGATGGTGCAGGGAGGGAGTTGGGTCAAGGTGATAAGCAAAATAATTTAGGGGATGTATTGGTGTACCAGATAAGGGGCCGGGTGCGTGACAAAGAGGAAGGGAGCTCGGCTAGGGGGGATGGGGAAAATGGGGATATTGTTACTTATGAAAGTTAAGATTTTTTCATGGAATGTGAGGGGGATGAATGACCCAAACAAAAGGGTCATCATCAAAGTGGGAGTTAGAGAGTAGGGTGCCAATCTAGTTTGTTTTCAGGAGACAAAAATGGAAGTTTTGTCGGATGCGATTGTGAGGAGTCCAACTCAAGGTCTAGACTTGATATATTTCTGATATCGTCCTCCTGGGATGAGCTGGTGCCGAATGTGCTGTAGATTCCTTTACCTAGGCTGACTTCGGATCATTTGCCTATCTTACTAGATGGATACAGAGGGATGGGGTGCGTGCTCCTTTCCGATTCGAGAACATGTGGTTGACCAGGATTTGGTGACAAAGTGAAAGAATGGTGGACAAGCTACGGGGTATCAGGGACACCTTCATTCCGTCTTTTGAAGAAACTTAAATTGCTCAAGGGAGATATTATTAGGTGGAATAAAGAGGTTTTTGGGAGGGTAGAGGTTAAAATGAGGGAGCTCATGCATGAATTGGGAGAACTAGAGAGAGGGGAAGGGGCGAAAGAGCTAGATGAATCTGAGAAAGCGAAATTGGGGGAGGTTAAGAGGGAAATAGTCGAGTTAGCAGTTGGCGGTAAAAATCGCGGCGATTTAGTTAAAGGAAGGGGATTCAAATACCATGTTTTCCCACAGGGTTGCGGTTGCAAATCGAAGGAGAAATTTCATAGAGTCCATAGTTGTGGATGGGGTGAGGATTGAGGGAGAGGAGGAGGTAAAAGGGACAGATCCAAGGATACATCCAAAGATGACTTTGGGACAGATCTAAGTACAGATACAGATGTAGGGATTCAGTAAAAAATAATTTAAATATCTAAAATTAGAGTTATAAAATTATGCCTAAAGAATGAGTCATTATGTAAAAAAACTTATGTGTTGCTTGTAGACTGCAGGAAAAGGATTACAAGTTTAGTAACCATAAAAAAGTGAAGGATATTAACATTTGAACTAAGCTAATAAGAAAATAAAAAAGTATTTACTAACCGGAAGTTGTAGGCCTTTTACATTTCCAAAAGAGAATTCGAGGAGTTAAAAGGAAAAAGACTGACATAGAAATTTCTATATACAAGATAATCATTTTCTTCAATTTTACCTTAGCATTTGTTTTGATTTTAGAAATTATTATACTTGTCCCGAATTTTCCCGGTCAATTTTGGTCAAAGTATCCAAAATTGATTGACTAGATCCAGTACGGATCCAACACCCACATCCACACCCACGTCGTGTCAATATCGGTGTGGCACCGAAAGTAAAGAGTTTGAGCAACTTAGGTGAAACACAATGACCACTCAATTGTGATCCTTTAAAGATCCGAATCTCTTTAGAAAAAGAGCCAAATGATGGAGACTATGGGATCTGATACCATGTAATATATGGGAGAAGTATCTTCTATTCATGACTACAACATATTTATATACTTACATAAAAGACTACCAAAGGAAACTAATCAAAATAAATAGAGGAAAATATCCCAAGGATGTGCTCTTACTGTACTCTACTTTCTCTGCCGATACCGAAGAGGGTAACTAACCTCTTGACTAAGGGCTCCCTAGCTACCCCTGCAACCTTGCTCCCTAAGTTTCTTCGTAAGATGAACCTTCTTGCTTTCTTTATTTTGAAATATCCTGCTTCTACCTCAGGGAGTTGGGATTTTACTATCAGGATTGTTTGGCACTGGGATTGGATCTTCTGTTTCTGTGTAAGTCCAGACGAAAACCTTCTGCAGCTAGCAAATAGTCTCTTAGGATTACATTAGTTGACTATGAAGAACTGACTTTTCCTTTGTTCACATGCAGTGAGAATGCTGGCCTTATAGCACAGACACGTGTTGGTAGTAGAAGAGTTGTCCAGATATCTGCTGGGTTCATGATTTTCTTTTCAATTCTCGGTAAATCTAACTGTTTTGTCGTACAATTATATTTTTGTGGGTTATCTTGATGCTTGATTGCTCTCTCTCCCCCACCCTATGTGGATTTATCTTGACAATACTATTATCATCAGGGAAATATGGAGCGTTCTTTGCTTCAATTCCAACGCCCATTGTAGGTGCTTTGTATTGCCTTCTGTTCCCTTATGTAGGTATGCAAATATAGTAAGGCAAACACATGCGCTGGATCAGTGCCAAAATCTTTCATGTTATTCATATAGTTTGCTAATTAATAAGATTGTTGGTTCTTATGTTGATTCTTGGCAGGAGCCGGAGGCTTAAGCTTCCTTCAGTTTTGCAATCTTAATAGTTTCCGCACCAAGTTTATATTAGGTTTCTCCATCTTTCTGGGTTTGTCCGTGCCACAGTACTTCAATGAGTATACTGCCATTGCTGGTTATGGACCTGTTCACACGCATAGAAGATGGGTATATATCAAATTAAATTTGCATTTTAACCTTCTGAATGTATATCTTAACATTTGACTTGTGTTTCATTCTAGTCTTGTATTAAGAGCTTTTCTGGTTTCTTATTGTTCAGCTCAACGACATGGTCAATGTGCCCTTTTCGTCGAAAGCTTTTGTTGCGGGAATCGTGGCTTATTTTCTAGACAACACACTACAGAGAAGGTATAATCAGACATGGAATGACAGAGGCAATCACTGGTGGTACGCATTCACGTCCTACAAGGGTGACTGTAGAAGTGAAGAATTCTACTCCCTTCCTTACATTCTGCGTCATTGGTGACCCTATGGAGACAGAAGGGTTCCTACTTCAACGAGAGTCTTGCTTGAGCCCTGACCATTGAAACACAAATCTTCTTTTCATATGTATTGCGAAAAGAAGTATAAATAGTTTGGATGGTTGTTATCTATTGTATTTGTTAATCTAAATTAGGGAGCAAGAGCAACTAATTGTGTGTGCCATATCATGCGCAGTGGAAATCATTGTAATCGCTACCAACAAACACTACTAAAAATCTGCTAAAAATCGATCAAATATTTCCGACCAATGTTGGTCGGTCAAAAAAAGCTACCAAAAACCGTCCAGGTTGGACGGAAACTGGGAATTTTTTTTTTACATTTTTTTAAAACTAAATACCGACCAACGTTAGTCGGTAATTGGTCAACGAATTGACCCAGTTGGTCAGACAAGAAAATTTTGGATTACCGACCAACGTTGGTCGGTAATCTGGATCTAATTTTT